GTTTCATTTTCGCTGAGCGGCCCCCTGAAGGCCAAAAAAGGTCGAAAAAAATTGTTAAGAATGGGTGGTTTTTGCTGCCTTGGAGTGAAGTTTCGGACTTGTAGAAAAGACCACCCGCATATTGAAGGGTACTGATGAAGACGATATCGAAAACAACGTGAAATTCCCTCAAAATTGAAGTTCTGTCAGTGGTAGTGCTGAAGAAAGTGTGGAGGTTACATAAGTGTCGTTGGCATTGGAGCACTCACAGTTGCGTAGTGGTCAAGTGGATAGCGTGGTGGACTGGGCTTGGCGGATGCCTTTGGGGTTCGGCTTCGCTCCACGGCTGCAGTATTGCACTTTTGAGGAACACTCCCAAAATAGCGACAAATTGCTTCAGCGTCAAAACTAACGCTATATTCACAGTCAGGACCATCAGTAGCCCTTGCAAATGGGTTTTCTATCAAAAATGGCGAAAAAGTTCGCAGCGCCAAACTGGCGCCAAATGGCGCCGACGCCAAAAACGAAGGCCATATTCGTGATCAGGACCCAGATTTACCCCTATGCCTATATTGATACAGTGTACATTATTTTGGAGTTAGCAAATTCTTCAGGAAAAATCTAGATTTCGACCTAACTTCGAAAAAGTGGGTGGCCATGGCCACGAGCGGTCATGTATGTACGCCGGCGGCTGACTTGAAAACGTGCGCGGAGAGGAAATGAAGCAAAGTGCTCAATGATTCACGTAATCCAATTCGGCTTCATGAAGCACATCCCACACCACGTCCTCGAAATCGCTCCAGCTATTGAGATGAAGCGTTGCAAAAGGAGGAGCCGTGAACCCAAAATCTCACGTTTTGATGGAGAGAAGAATTTGACAACTCCAAAATAATATGTATACTACTATGTCCTGATACACATTATTAGTCTGGGTGTTTGCCACTGCCCATTCGGTAGTGGAAGTTCTCATTATTTGGATAGGATAACTAACTGGAACGCCTTTTCAGTTCACCGGCTGGATGCACCTATAAGTATCAATGGCCAATTTTTCGGATCTGGATCAAAATTCCAGTTTTCTTTCCGATAGCTCCAATTTGCGCCGCTTCTGCGCCATTTGGCGATCCTATGACCCGACAACTTTTCTCTGCCAGATTACTTTGAAAATATGGAATTAGTGGTTATTGACAGTCTTTATAGTGAATTTCACATCTATTGCTGGCCCTGGCGCTATTTTGAGCGGATTTGGAAACTCCAACCTGCATGCGAAAATTTTATC